ATACTATACACCTATAAGGATTAAGTAGTCTACCTTTATTTATTTCATTAATTTCTGTGGAGTAAACTAAAAATAATGTTATTTTTAAAGTCTGGATTACTATTAAAGATACAGCCAAATGATGGTAAATGAAAGGTCTGAACACAAACGGCTATTTTCACAAAATACAGGTAAGGAAGAAAACACTTGTTTTTTCGAACAAAAGAAGCCTATTAGTTTTTGAAATAGGTTAAAACTAATACATTCAAACGTAATACAGGCATAGAGTTTAATTAAAAATTCTTAAAACAACTGGAAAAATAATCTCAATGTTCACGATTAACAAACTAATTGACATTAATTTAATCTCTCATTTTAAACAAACTTCTTGCAGATATTCCATTAATTATTTTTGGTTAACTATGCAATTTGAACAACACAGAACATCTTAAATAAATACAATTTATTATTATCAATAATAATATCAAAACAAAGGCTTTCTTTACTTTAATTTCTTTATTAAAAAATGACAGTATTTAACCACTTGTGTAAATTCATTGCATAGACATTATCAGATATAAAGATTACTCTGGATGTTGGTGGTTCTGACGATCTTGCGGAGGATGTCTGCGCTCGGAGAAGGGTCCAACTAAAGAGACAGAGAGAAAGGAAAGCAGGGTCAAAGATGAGAACAACAGGAAACACTTAAAAAGCTTTTAAGTTTGTTATTCTGACCTTTAACAGAGCCCTTAGATGAGTAATAAACAAAAAGCAGCTCACCTTTATGGACTTGCCGAGTTTGGTTAGTGTGGGTTTGAATGTCTCCATGGTGACGGAGTCTGGGCCGATGACGTCGCTGTAACACTGGTAAACAATGGAGGGGATGCGGTGGACCTCACAGTGGTTCAGTACTGAAAAAGTAAGAAAGATTAAACATTCAGAATAGCTGAATACTGGACATGACCTCAAGGTCGTCAGACTTACAGACTCAAGATATTCCATCAGGACCAAAACCTCTCGCCACCTGAACAGTTTCTTCCCCTCCGCTACCGGCCTCATCAACAAGGCCCGGCCCCCCCACCTCAGCCACACATGTCAAACTCAAGGCCCAGGGGCCAAATCAGGCCCTTGGTGGATTTAATTTCGGCCCGCAGGATAATTTCTAATTCCTATTAGATCTGGCCCGCCGGTATATTGCACGCACACCTTCACTCCATCCTGAGGGTCTCCTCAGCTCAGAGCCTGACCCCAAACATTGATGAGCTTGCACCCAAGATGAGATGCCAAGTATCTGAACTAGCATCACAGAGCAGCACACTGACTTTACATGGATGTTTCCTTCTGCACTTTCTTTCTTGAGACAACAGGGCATGTTTGGTTTTCTCTTTGAGGGAAATAGTTTTTTTGAAGCTGTTGTTGGCCTGTGGAAAAATGTAATCATAATCATGTAGTCATTTTCTTTCTTACTAAGCAATAAACCCATTCAGATTTGTTTATTTTAAAGTATTACTCCCCGTAGATAGTGTGAGCAGCATGTATTTTTAAAGTGTGCACAGTAGATGTGCAGCAGGGACATGTTTGTAAACTAAAACTGAAATAATAAATCTGTGAAATAAAAGAAATAATAACTTTTAAGAAAAACTGAAATAATGACACCTGAGTAAAAACGGTATATCAGAACTGTGTTACAGACTCACATTTGCCAAGGACACCAGACTCAGACACAATCCCACATGACACAAGACTGTTAAACTCCTCCACGTTTACTATTCACGCATTTTATTTGTCTTAAGTATAGTATGTTGTATTATTGTTGGAGCAGTAGAGTTCAGATTTTCATCGCCAAAAACTCCCCTGTATCTATTTTGCGCATTACAGTGAAGCCTTTGACATGTTAATCTTTGTCTCGACTTTCAGTGTCTTTAAGTGCTTTGGGATAAAAAGGACTAAATCAAAACGAAACGGTACGTGATCTCCGCTGAGTGAAAAGAAGCACTAATGACACTAAATGTCATTGAGTTGGCAGAGGATTTTGTGCCAAGACATTTATAGTTTTCCTTGAATTACACACATCAGGAGCAGTTTGGGTTCACTGTCCCGCTCAAGGACAATTGAGATATGTAACAAATTAAACTGGCTAGCCCTGGATTAATTGATCCGACACACAAGGGGATAACTTCCCGTCACTTTCATTTATATCCAGGTAACATTATGGTGCTTTTGAGATTACTGAATAGCAATTGAAGCGTTCATTAATTCATTCGAGTGAAAATGACCGTGAGACTGTAATAAACAGTTAATGTTAGTTACTGAATAAAAGAAGATCACAGTCTTTCTTTAAAGGGGCCCTATTCTGCAAATGTTCAGGCTCATATCATTATGAAGTGTCTCTACTTTAAAGAGTCCTCTCCTGCTGATGTTCAGCTGTATATCATTATGAAGTGTCTCTACTTTAAAGAGTCCTCTCCTGCTGATGTTCAGGTGTATATCAGTATGTAGTGCCTCTACTTTAAAGAGTCCTCTCCTGCTGATGTTCAGGTGTATATCAGTATGTAGTGCCTCTACTTTAAAGAGTCCTCTCCTGCTGATGTTCAGGTGTATATCAGTATGTAGTGTCTCTACTTTAAAGAGTCCTCTCCTGCTGATGTTCAGGTGTATATCAGTATGTAGTGCCTCTACTTTAAAGAGTCCTCTCCTGCTGATGTTCAGGTGTATATCAGTATGTAGTGTCTCTACTTTAAAGAGTCCTCTCCTGCTGATGTACAGGTGTATATCACTATGTAGTGTCTCTACTTTAAAGAGTCCTCTCCTGCTGATGTTCAGGTGTATATCAGTATGTAGTGTCTCTACTTTAAAGAGTCATCTCCTGCTGATGTTCAGGTGTATATCAGTATGTAGTGTCTCTACTTTAAAGAGTCATCTCCTGCTGATGTTCAGGTGTATATCACTATGTAGTGTCTCTACTTTAAAGAGTCCTCTCCTGCTGATGTTCAGGTGTATATCAGTATGTAGTGTCTCTACTTTAAAGAGTCCTCTCCTGCTGATGTTCAGGTGTATATCAGTATGTAGTGTCTCTACTTTAAAGAGTCCTCTCCTGCTGATGTTCAGGTGTATATCAGTATGTAGTGTCTCTACTTTAAAGAGTCCTCTCCTGCTGATGTTCAGGTGTATATCAGTATGTAGTGTCTCTACATGTCTCCATGTTTTAATGTTCAAAAAGCTCTTTATTTTTCTCATACTGTCTGTGCTGCAGCACCTCTCTTCACCTTCTGCCTGAAACCAGAGCCCAGTCTGCTCTGATTGGTTAGCTGGCAGTCTTAGTTTTTTTACTAATTGTGTTATAATAACGTGTGCATACTTAGCAACTTACCACTTTATCTGCTGTTGTAATCATGTACATTTCCCCGTTGCGGGACAAATAAAGGATTTCTAAATTCTGATTCTGTTTTTCTGCACAAAAATACTGAGGTCTTCATTTGAGTGGCTATAGAGTGGTGCAGTGACACGTCCTAAAACCCGGAAGTAAGCTGCGCATGTGTTGCCTGGACAAAAACGCAATGCAATCTCTCCATAGGATTTGGGAAAATAGCTGGAAATAAGGTCTGTAGTTGAGACACATTTAAGAGACGGATCACATTTTGTTCTGCCGGATAATCTCCACATGTCTACCCTACTTTTATAATTTAATTGAATAAATCTAGTCGTCAGAAGCAAAATGCTGACGTTATGCTATAAAGGAACTACAGCAGGGTCGCTGCTTCAACGTCACGCCAACTTAAGATCTAAATGGTTCAAGTTGAAGCGATTGTTTTAACAGTTTGCAGGAGGCAGGTACTTGCTTTCAAGCAGAACACAGGGGAAAACAAACTTAGAGTGTTTACGTGTTCGGCGTAATGACGTACAACGGCCTCCACAACTTCTGTGGTCCTATTCAGCCACTTGGTAACTAGGGATGCCAGAAACTGACCATGATCAAATTCGAAAATCGGACAGCCCTGGCAAATATTAATCGATTATTCACCGCTGCTGGCTTCCTCCAAGTTTACAGTAAAACAAACTGGTGGTGTGACCAATGGCCATTTACAATTATTAATACTATTACTATTATTAGCATTAGTCTATATTTTGGTTGAAACTAAGCCAGAAAAAATAAATAAAAACATAAATAATAATAAAAATATATATAAATAAAATCGAAATTTAAAAAATAATTTTCGATTATGGAGACTGTAACGAATATTCGAAAAATCGAATAATCGCTGGCATCCCTATTGGTAACAACCATTGTTTTTCAGACACGTAAACTCTTCAGAAATCACCAGTCACTGCTGATGGATTTAATGTCGTAGAACAAAACGTGATCCGTCTCTTGAATGTGTCTCAACCACAGACCTTATTTCCAGCTATTTTCCTAAACCCTTTGGAGAGATCCCATTGCTTTTTATCGAAGGAACCGGAAGTGGTAAAATGCTAACTCACTTCCGGGTTTTAGGACGAGTCACTGCACCACTCTATAGGATTTCACATTTAGAAAACTGTGGCTTACTACACACAATAAACCCATTTTCTGGAATCAGCAGCACTCGGATTTACCAAGGCACTCCTGACAACAAAGTGCTTCCTCATGAACATAAAATAAAAGGTCACGCTGGAGCAGAGGGTTTAAAGAGAGTTTTTTCAATGGGTTTAATATGCAAACTTCCTGTCTCTTCTGCAATAATCAAGCTGCCCTTCTCCAAATATCTAGAGGCTGAAGAAGGAAAGCCGAGTTGTGCAGCTTTTAAGTGTTTCTTTGTGTAGACGGTAAAATCTGGAAAGCGGACTTCTGTTTTTTTTTAATGCACATATTTTATATTTCATGCCATTCTATTTCAATGTAAATACTGCTATATTGTATTTTTTAATGTTATTATAGTTTTCTTAAAATAGTTCTGTGTTTTTTTTATTTTTGTTTTACTTTTATGTATGTACCACGACACCAAGTCAAATTCCTCGTACGTGTCAACCTACCTGGTGATAGACCTGTTTCGGATTCAAGTGACGGCAGTTTGAGATGCGAGAGTCAGAGAGAACCAGTCGTACCTGCAGCCTGAAGTCCAGTCACTATGTTGGGCTGCTCCAGTGATTTGCAGACAGGCTTCCCAGAGAAAGCAGCGGAGTGGAGCGAGCGCAGGAAGGGAGCCGAGCTGCTGCTCAGGTAGTCGGCCGTCTTAAACTCAGACACAGAGCTCTCAGAGAGCACCGTCACATTCAGCTGTCTGAGCTGCAGGCAGTCAAACACCTGCAGGAGAGAGAGGGGCACAATTAGCTAAAACACAACAGCATGGGACAGGGACAGTTTCATCCCACAGGCCATAAGACTGTTAAACACCTGAACTTTTGAAAGAACATCCATAACATTAATCTGTTTGCAACTTATACAGTATATATATCAATATTCCAATTACTTGTATATAGACTATTCTGCACTATTTCATAACTACACTGTAGCTGTGGTCCTCAGTCAGTAGGGGCTTGGACTGGGGGCTGTAGGGTCGCCGGTTCAAATCCCCGACCAGACCTAAATATGGAGTGTGGACTGCTACTTGGAGAGGTCCCAGTTCACCTCCTGCCCTGCCGTGGTGTCCTTGAACAAGGCACCGGACACCCCCCTTCCCCCCCACTCCCATTGCTCCCCGGGCGCTGTACAATAGCTGCCCACTGCTCCTAGTGCTAGACTCCTGGTACTAGGGTGGGTTAAATGCCGAGAACACATTTCACTGTGTGCTGTGTGCTCTGCATGTGTGACCATTAAGGAGGGTTTCATCCCTCCCTATTCTATTCTACATATGACAATAATAATAACTTAGATTTATATAGCGCCTTTCAGGGGACCCAAAACAGCAAAGAACAGGAGTAAAACAAACATGTGGTTTATTAAACTACCATTTACATTTTCTATTGAACTTACAGCATTGTTTAATCATTGAAGTGATAATGCTTGACTTACATGTTTTAATTTACATTTTTTATAAATCTCCCTTCCTCCCCTAAAGTTACTCTTACCCCAAAAACACGTCGGTCAGGACAGCTTGCACATCTTCCGGCGCAGACTGAAAACTCATCTCTTTCGACTCCACTTCGAGCGATATAATTACTAACAAAGCACTTATATACTAATAAAGGACTGGCTTATCTAAAGCCAGTTGAGTAGCACTTGAAATGTTTGGCTCTATGAAACCTGATAATACTTATATGATTCTGTTTTCTTCAAGGTTGTGTCTTCTTGGTCGAATGCACTTATTGTAAGTCGCTTTAGATAAAAGCGTCAGCTAAATGCAATGTAATGTATCTCACCCTGAAAAGTCCCTGTATGTTTGGCTTTGTCGTTCTCCAGTAAACATTGATTAAAGTGTACCATTATACAACTAACTAGCTCCCCTGTAATTACGTACAGGACAACATTTTTCTGTCTGTTATAATCGTGTTGTGTGCCCTTTCTTTCCAACAGGCTTTGAGCTGACGTGCCGATAAACTTCTCCTGTTTCTACATCGATATGCTTCATAGTTGTAGGAAAACGGATATAAATCTGCTACCTGAGGAGAGAGAGCTGCTCCTACATTTCCCTGAATAACAACATCATCTACTCACAGTGCCATCCGTCTGATTTGTGTTGTATAAACATACCTTTTCTGTCCATTGGAAAAGCTGGTCTTCTGCAAGGTAGCAAGTCACTTGGCATATCAAAACCTTCAGGGAAAGAAATACAAGAGATATATTATGCAACGTTTTTCAATTAAAGACATGCTTTTAATTCTCATATAGTCTGTGTTATAGAAATGCAAACAAGAGGGAGTATCTTTTAAAAAGGGCCCTGTTATGCTTTCAAATTCATATCTTCTGTCTCCCCTGTGACATGTCTCCATGCTTTAATGTTCAAAAAGCTCTTTATTGTTCTCATACTGCCTGTGCTGCAGCACCTCTTTTCACCCTCTGTCTGGAACCAGAGCCCAGTCTGCTCTGATTGGTTAGCTGGCCTGCTCTGTTGTGATTGGTCAACGGCTTAGAGATGTCCCGCCCCTTAGCCTATCACGTAGAATGTGTTGGATCCATAGCCAATAGAAGTGCGAGTGTTACAAAGATGTCACGATGTTACAGAAGTAACAAAGGAGTCCATGTGAGGCGTTTCAGGGAGGGGGGAGAGAGACTCCCTCTGGTAGGAAATTTGAGAGTTTAGCCTTTGCAGACCATTTACATGCACTGAAAGCTATATAACACACTACAGGAATGGGATAACCATTCTTTTACTTCTAGAGAAAGGTCACTCTGCTGACCATTTTGTTATCTAGCAGACACTGGCAAATCAATGTCTAAAGTGCTTAATAATGCTTCAAAATGTAAATAAACTATATTAAATAAACACAGTCCGATCACAGGGCTCCCCAGTGGATAATTGACACATTATGCTAGCGCTGCATTATTTATATTATTGATTAATCAGCGGATTATTTCTTGATGAACTGTTTGCTCTCCGTCGGCAGAAAACTGTGAAAAAGCCGAGCACCGTGTTCCGGAGCACAAAGTGACGTCTTCAGGTGTCTGATGTGAAGCGCAGTAAATCAGTGATGTATAAACTAATGGGTGATTGCTGCAGTATCTGTTGTTCACAGCTGCTTCCCACTGTTTGAGAATCTTCTCCTTCAGCTCATTAAATCCCTGCAGCCGTCAGAACACAAGTGTGTAATAAATCTGACGCGGCACACATCAGACGCCCGTTATAACTCTGTTTTCTGACACTTTATGGGAGAGGCGGCGGATTACCAGGGCTCATTAATCCTGTGTTCGTGGCCTACTTTCCAACTTTTAAAGCTGAAATGGGGTTTCATATTATGTTTTTGAAATGATGCTGACATGACTTCCAGTACAACATACACTACAAAGGTGTTGGATTCATTAACTTCTACTAACTATAAAAACGGCTTTAACAGATGTTTTTATGATTTATTTAAATGTTCATTAGACGCATCTTGTTGTGAAAATACTGAATGTCCTCTTCCAATATGAGAGTAACATGATAACAAAGGTATCCCAACTGTAGCTGTGAACATGACAGGATGTGTGATTACCTAGAAGAGCATCAGGACTGCTTTAGGCAGATGATAGCTATGTGATTAACATGATGATTCAGCCTCTATGGAGAGAGACATCAAGCATGCTCATTTCTGACGTGGAGCTAATCTGAAGTAAACATTGAAGACTGCTTTCTATTCCTCCATCTTGTGACTGTGTAACTCCCTCTCTTGGATATCAGCATGTGAAGGACACTGCTCAGGAACTAGTTGATGCTCTGTATGTGATGCTACTTCCATTCTGGAGAGGATCACAGATACATGGATCCTGAGGTTGAAGCTCAAGCCGGGGACCAGGGAGATATTTCTAACACATCTGCATTTCTTTGATCTATCTAATTTCCTCAGGACTTTCCTCCTGTTCGTAGCTTGACAGTGAACTGGGGAGGATCGTTATAATAGGCTCCTGATAAACTAATAAAACAAATGAAAGCTCAGCAGTAAAGTCCGTACACTGAATGATTATTGAGTTCACAGCACTGTGGGGTCACTCACTGCTGGGTTGTCCTTCGGTCTGTAGAAAACACAGGTCGACTCCTCGCTGGCGACCCCCCCGCTCCTCTCGTTCCACACCGATGCTCGTCCCAGCGCGTCCCAGTTTTCAGAGGTGAGAGCGTACACTGACAGAAACCCTGTGGAGACGGATGAGAACTCAACAGCAGCTCAAACGTCAGACAGACCTACAGTACATTTATAGCGCTCTCCTCACAGCGGACATTGGAACAGGTATCTGCTATGATTCAGGTCTGACCAATTAATGTATAACATATTTAAAAAGTTAATCATTTAAGGTGTTTCTGGGAAAATGCCTACTATTTATTGGTTTCATCCGATGAACGGTTAGCTTTAATTAGCTGTAGCCTATGTGACGTTGAAGGGGTCCCTGAACTTATCCAAATCCTAATGATGGGTCAGAAGAAGCCTTTTGTAATCTTTTTGTGTTGTTAGGTTGCAAAATAGTACAATCATAATTCATATTAAGAGAGCAAAATCAAACTTTTGTTACACTGAACATGTTCACAGTTGCAAGATGAAAACAAGATGCAGTTCAAGCCAGAGTCCTGCACGGGTCTGATTTTCAAGACCCGCTCCCGCCCCGCAACGTGCAATACCGAACCCGCCCCGCTACCCACACATATTGCCAATTAGTTCCGCAACCCGACCCGTCGGCACAAGATCCGCAACCCGACCCGATCTAGGATGACACCAGAAGCCTCCCAGACGTTGGATTTCGCTCTTGAGGAAGTGTTATTGAAAATGCTGTATTCTCCGCTAGAGAGCTTCACCTCAGCCATTTCGAATGTGGCGCGCTCAGCAGCAGATTGATGCGCTGCAGAGGTTATGATTATGCGCGGTCCCGCGGGGGAGAGGTCTGAGGATTTAAACATTAAACTAAATTATTATTATTTTAATATATTTATTATGCAATACCCGCGACCCGACCCGCATCTTCTTTGTTTTACCCAGAACCGAACCCGGAAAAAAGCGTTTGAAAAAATACCACCCGCGAATCACCTTTTTTGCGGGTCACCCGTCGGGTACCCGACCCGATGCAGGACTCTGGTTCAAGCTGACATTGTGTACTTTACCATACTGTGATGATATTACTATTTAGTTCCAACATTTTATTGACAAACAATCCAATGATGAAATAAGGAACCACATTCACTAAATCAACCTCAAGTTAAAATATTCAATGTAGCTCTTCTATCAACAATGCCTGGCCTCATTATGTAATTTAGTTCTTGATGGGTTCTTGTCCTCCTGTGCATTTGTTTTTTCTGTTTGTTTTGCTGAACTGAAAATCTGTGTTATCTCAGAGTTAATGGCGCTGGATTGCTCCATGTTCCAACGTCCTCTGAGGGAACATTAACGTTTCATGTGATCTGTAATAATATTGGGTGTTCTTTCAGAAAGACTCAATAATGGTAATGCAACATTCAGCTGCTCTGACACTTACTGGCGGCGTTGTGTCCCACAGCGAGGATGAAGTCTGAACACGGCAGCTTGTTTCCGGACTTCAGCGACTCGGAGACTTCGGGGCTCCAGTGCAGATGAACCTCCCTGATCAATGAGGGACGGGGGTTAGGAGAGAAGCAACTGTTATACAAAACACTGCACAACTAAATATTTATAGACTAAAGTCCACTTAGTATCCAGCTGCCTGCAAGTAACGACCATTTTTTCCTTAAATCATTTTCCATATAGGTCTCTAGCAGATTTGACACAACATTTTTATGGTTATTTCTCATATTTTATTTTTAATGACATCTTTGTCTACTTAACTTAAAGGTGGGGTAGGTAAGAATGGAGAAACCAGCTCGAGTGCGCTAGAATTAGAAAATACACAGCAGGAAAAAATCTGCCCCTTCCTTCAGACTTCCTTACAGAGCCCCTCCTCCAACACACACGAACGCGCACATGACCAATGAGGGCACGAGATAAGTTTGTGCACAGATGGAAGGCTGACAGGCAGGGTAGGCCATCCAGTTACCTGCCGCGGGCCGGCTCAGATGGTTCGTCGTGCTTTTTACAGCGCCACGGCTTCCACAGATGAATTTTTTGTATGTATTTATTGTCAAAGCATTTCATGTATTCATTGCTATCGGGATGTTAAGAGCATTCCATGGAATATAACAAAAAGTGTTTCTGAAGTGAATTACCTACCCCACCTTTAAGCACTCCTTAAGGCCACGATAATCAAACCCCCCCTCTCCTCAGAAGAGATTGAATCAGGTACTTTACTTTGAGGTATTTGGACTTGTCAATTGCATGCTATTTTGTACATCTACTGAGTAATCTAGGAAATAGTGTGCTTTTTAAGCCAACTTTATTCGACAGCTCAGTTCAATCTTGCAACCCAGGTCCCGTAGGCATCAGGTTCACCAAATATGTGCTTAAACTGAACGTAAATTGCTTTTTAAAGTCTGCATCACAGGCACAGACTGTGTGTAGATCAGGGGTGTCAAACTCAATTTTGACACCCCTGGGGCCGAATCCCGTCCATGACTTCATTTGATGTGGCCCCACAAGAGCTTGCAAAGAATATAATATGTTTATTATACGGTTCCATGCCAATTTACAGAAGCACGTTGCCATAAACTACATGTCCCACAATGCATCTCAAATGTGATTTTTTTTTTCTCAGAAGTTGCCTTTCTTTAAAAATGTTACTTTTTTTCAAAATTTCATTTATTTTTCTTGATTTTGATTTTTTCTCCAGAATTTGGCTTTTCTTTTTTAAATCATTTTGTGACGTTCTCACTGAAGAGAATTGCAATTATTTGCCCCAGACTTCTGCTTTCAGATGTAGTTAATTAAGTTATTACTCTATCCGATAATAATCCAATGCAGAGGCAATAATGTTATATAATACATTATTTTATATTACATTTTTATATGTATTTTTATATAGTCTTATATATAAAACTGGCCCTTTGAGTGCTACCATGATGCTAATGTGGCCCGAGATGAAATTGAGTTTGACACCCCTGGTATAGATTGAATAATAGTATAGTAAGAGTTCTGCAAGGAAGAACCTTGGATGGGAGTGGATTTACATAAAGGTAGCAATTGTTTAGCTGAGAGTGATGTACTTAGCAGAGGTCTAAGCACATTTACTCAAGTACTGTACTTTTTTGAGATACTTGTACTTTACTAGAGTATTTCCACTATATGCTACTTTGTACTTCTACTCCACAACAGTTCAGAGGTAAATGGTGTACTTTTCCTCCACTACATGTGTTTAATACCTTTAGTTACTTTACAGATCTGGATGAATGATGTGAAATATAATCAAGTGTTAAATCAGACTTTAGTTCCACCTGGAGTAAATCCACAAGCTACCCTGCAGTATACAAAGTCATTCAAACTAGCTGCACCTTTACCAGCTTTGAGAACACTTTCATGATCAATCATTATAAAACATATCATATATATTATTCTGAAATGGACCAATCTGCACAACGACTACTTTTACTGTCGCTACTTTCACTATATTTTGATGAGAATACTTTTCTACTTTTACTTGTAACAGAGTATTCCTACACTGTGGTACTTCTACTTTCACTCAACTATAGGATCTGAGTACTCCTCCCACCTCTGCTGGTTATAATGCCATACACACATCATGCTGCAGGATTGTTTTAGTGATCATTAACATTGTTTGAATCTGAGCCGTTATTATACGTTTTTAACTGGTTTCTATTGAGTCTTATTCACTTTTTCACTCAGCTTTGGATTCCATAATGTACCCATCTTCTATTTGATTGTAAAAAATAAACCAAAGCAATACAAATATTGTCACAAAAAGGAAATCAAGGGGTGGGTGTTACTGAAATGTCATGTGTCATGTTAGCTAGCTAGAGCCTGGAAGATGCTAACTCAGATCAACGTGTTTTACATACAACTGTAAATACGTGTATAATGCTCACATACAATATAACGTCTTACAACTTATTTCACATGACTTGATTAAACTGTCTGTCGTCATTAAACTAATATTACATGTCCATGCTTCCTGATTTCCAGTCCTTATGCTAGCTGGCTAACGTTATTTACCTCTTTTCCTCCAGTTCTCTGAGGATTTCTGCATCCTCTTCGTTCTCATCGACCTCCTCTTCGTCTTCCTCCACAGCCCGGGAATACACCGACAACACTTCACCGAAAAACGTCGCCATAATCACTTAGTTTACTAAAGGAAAAGCGAAAGTTTACTTAGTGGTTCAGACTTGCAGATATGAAAATACTTCCTCAACTTCCGCCGGCAGCGACACCCCTTCAAAATAAATTCTCAACGCTTGAATCCTTCAGAATAAAATAATAACTTCCACAAACTAAAGCCAAGATAAGGTACACATTATTTTAAGGACTTATCTTGAGGTACATAACGTTGTACAGGAGCATTGACACGCCAAAAGGTTAGTTATACCTGATAACAAATTACTTAAATTACATAAATTGAACAATCTAAAAGCCTGAATAGATAGAAATGGGCTTTTATTACATTTTATAGTTGCATTTTTGCAGAGGTGGGAGAAGTACTCAGATCTTGTACTTAAAGTGCACTTATCGTGCTATTTTTAGGCAATAGCATAGGTCTCAGATATATACAAATATATATATTTTTTAAATGTCTATGAAGTGTTTTGCTCAAAATACCAAACAGATCACCCATTCTAGCCATGCCTCATATCCCTCTATTTCACTTCCTGTTTCAAAAGTGCTGATTTTGGGTATAAAGCTTTAAAAAAAAGAATTGATTAAAAAAAAAGGAGGGGGCTGAGCTCATGCCGGACCTGGCAGCTACTGTCTAAACTAAATACTGCCGTGATGAAACGCGATATCATGGATTATCAAGGATTATTTCTGAAACAGTATGGAGCTCAAAGGCTTTCTCTCTTGCCGGTTATACCACAAGGTGAGTACCTTTTTATTTTCACACTCATGCTCTCCAGTACAGGTTAGCTCCGAGTGTTAGCGATGCTAATGTAAACACCGACCATATTACGTCCAAAACAGTCGGGCATTGTTTATGATAGCAACGTTTCTAATAGGGCCGTGGGTGTAAAGCCAGCCTACATTTCCGATATTACGTCATATCGGACGCAAATCTGGATCAGCTTCGTTGTATCCCCGTTTTTTTTAGATTTGGGCGCGGAGGAAAAGAGAGAGGGTTTTATTTTCTGACGCTGCGTGAGTTCCCCGACACACCGGGGATACATATTTATGTATAAAAGACATAAAAAATGCATTTTGCATGATAGGTCCCCTTTAAACTAAAGTAAACTTAAGTAAAAGTAGAAGTAGTGTATAAATATTCTGTTACAAATTAAAGTCCTGCATTCAAAATGTTACTCATTAAAAGTAGAAAAGTATTATCATCAGAATCTTGTTAAAGTAGCGACAGTAAAAGTAGTGATTGTGCAGACTGGTCCATTTCAGAATAATATATATGATGTGTTTTTTAATGATTGATCATTAAAGTGTTCTCAAAGCTAGTTTGAATGACTTTGTATACTGGAAGGTAGCTTGTGAATTTACTCCAGGTGGAACTAAAGTCTGATTTAACACTTGATTATATTTCACATCATTCATCCAGATCTGTAAAGTAACTAAAGGTATTAAATACATGTAGTGGAGTAAAAGTACAAAGTAGCATAACATGGAAATACTCAAGTAAAGTACAAGTACCTCAAACAAGTACAGTACTTGAGTAAATGTACTTACTTAGTATGATCCGCTTTCCAAGGTTATTGACATCTACTATAAATATCCTCCAGCTATCGACATATGAATTAATCATACCTCATATTATATAACATCATCTTTATTTCCCTTGAAGGGATATGCTGCAGAAAACCCATTTCCTCAAATGCTCCATACATTTTCATTTAACACAAAACGCTAATCAAAGGTAACTTTCCTTAAATAGTAATAATCTTTTCTCAGACAACAATAATTGAATAAATTATAATATTAAGAGACAGATTTAGCTATGATGGGTTATGACTTCTTACAGTAGTTTATCTTAAAGCTGGACAAAGGTGAAAAGTAAGTGTTGGAATAAATATCAACTGATAACAGATTGCATTACACAGATGTGGTCGATACAGTAGGGAAAAAGCGTATACAGTGTGCATAGATTTATGTTTCACAGTAATAATATTGACAGGTTACAAAAACCATAGTGTGTATTTTACTCACATTGTGAATTCATGTGCACCTGTGGTTTAAAGATACACCCAGCATTTATTTTCATCACTGTGATACGAGTTCCTACAAGTAAGGTGTGCATGAATATTTCAAAAGCACAGAAACACCATCAATTGAGCAGCTCAAACAAACAGAGACATGCAACACCAGTCGCTGCTCACAATCCCTGCTGGGAGCTCAGAGCGGCATGCACGAGTACGGCCTGTCCCTCATTCTGCCTGAGCTGCTCGCTTAAATCAATCAATCATTTAAGGCCTGTGTCTCTAGAGGTTTCACATGTATGGCTATACAATTCATATAGGGGCTTGAATGTGACAATTAGCACAGGGAATCTTGATGTGCTATTTTTAGCCCCTTTGTGCTAATTAAGGTTAAATCTGACATAGCGCATGACATCTTAGTGGCGATGAATAATTAACACAGGTGGAAGAAAGCAGGAAAACACGATTCTTGAAGGATTCTGGCACATCCTTCAGTTGTACAGCTAGATGGAAACATAAGCCAAGTCATGTTAGGGGAAATTGGCTTCAAGATGACTGCAGAACATCCATCCTTTCCATTGTGTTGTATAATTCATTTTCCCCTTTAAGCTGTGCCCCCCGAGATGAGGGACAAACAGAAATGTGATGACATCAGCACGACCATAAAAATGCTTCATTGTCACCAGAAAAAAAAAGGTCCAGTGTTCGAAAGACAAATTGGACGGCGGGGTGAAGCCTAGGGTGGAATAGAGAGTATAAGCTCTATTACCAGGGTCATGAGATAATGTGGCAAGATGGCCATAAAGCAGCAGAAGAGGGGTTTGCTGTCACAACATGGAGCAACATGCTAGGAGCAAGCTTCAGGCTGCTGTTAATATAACGGATAGTGGAGGGAGGGATGGAGAGAGAGAGGGATGTTCTGCAGCTTAACAAACAATAAAGCCTCGGGACGAGAAGAGAGGAATGTCAAGAGGACAAACAGGGAATGTCACAACATCATTGGCTATTAAAAAAAGGGATGAGGACAGTCAGAGGACATTCAGAGAGAGACTGAAAGCCTGCCTGTCTTTATCTTGTGAGGGCTGCAGTTCTAATTATTGTTATTTATACAGTCGTTCTTCAGCGTCAGAGGCACGAACCTGGCATGTTCCCGAGAGGAGAATTTATAATTATACTGTTGACCCCCCCTGTGACATTTCCACCAGTGCCGCCGTGTCCCAGAACATCAGGAAATATCAATATCTAACTGGCAGATTAGCAAAAGATTTACTGTGCAAAGCCATGATTCTACCAAGATTAATGTTTTCAATTGTAGGTTCTGTTGTTTCATATTTGGCCAACTTCAATCAGCCCACTAATGTACGATTATTTTAGTGATTTTAGAGAACACTGCAGCCTTGAGAGGAAACCAGCACGACGTTAAGACGTTAAGTTCAGTGATTTTTTTGAGGTACTTACACTTCACTTGAGTATTTCCATGTTGTGCTAATTTACACTTCTATCTCCTCTTAATCTCAGAAAGAAATACTGCGCTTTGTATTCCTCCGTCCCAAATGTATTTATTAAATTACTCTTGTATTAAAAACCATATGATATGCTTATGCAATAGGGTGCTCTGTAAAGTATCTGAAATTGGCTGGACTAAATTATGAAAATATGCTTAAGGATGATTACAGAATATAACTGTAAATATAATAATATAACTGTGAAAGGAGCCATTCTGAACATTGAGTACTTTTACTTTAATTTATTTGTAACATCTTGTGATGGAGTATTGTTAGACCGTAGTACTGCTTTATACACATGCATGAAAAATGAAAAAAAGCTACGTGAGACCTTTGAGTGTTTTTCACACCACCAAAACGTTTACAGGAATTCAGGACTTACTTGTAATGAAGTATTTTCAGACCATTATATTTCTACCTTTACTTAACTACAGTATTTATTTCAATATTGCTTGATATAGAGATGCAAGAAAACTGGAGATAAAAAGCTACGTGAGACTTTTGAGTGTTTTTCACACCTCCAAAACATTCCCAGGAATTAAGCAATTTGACTTGTAATGAAGTATTTTATATTTCTACTTTTACTAAAGTATCCAACACTGCTTGATTAACAGATGCATATCAAACTGGAGAAATGTGGTACTTGAGACCTTTGAGAGTTTGTCATACCTCCAAATGTTTGCATATTGATGCAGAAATGTTTAACACACACTCATGCACCGCTTCCATCAGACCTCCCACTCACACTCACATAGTCGTGGGGTGATTTAAAGTGATGTGGACTGTGGGAGGAAAGCGAAAAAACGCCTGGAGTATTTCCCACGCAGACACACACACGCAAACAGATACATGCGAACCCCATGATCAGTTGCTTAGGAACCGCATTGTTCATCCACTGGGGGTGTGATCACTTCTGAGTAAAGTGTGGGATTAATCATGTGAACTTGTGTGTGAACGCTAGCGGGGCTCTGGTGATGCTGCTAGAGCCTGGAGGTGGGTGGGAAAGGTGAGCTGATGATGATGATGATGTACCCGATGAAGAAAAAATCCATACAACCGCGTCTGTGAGCAAACTGTGAGGGGGAGGACGTTTACAGAAGTTTGATAAATATCACATGTTTAAAAATAAGCTTACTGACTGACGTCGGACACAGTTTAAAATCCAACCATAGGTAGTGTGCAACATTTCATAAGTATACTCATACTGTATCCTATTGGCTATCTGTTAAAGCGTTTGAAGACGAGTTCTAAAAAAATAAATACAGTTTCTTAACAGGTCAGTCCAGGGTTAGCTTCTCCTTTTCTATCTGCAATAATACAGTTATACCCATTAATGCATTAGCAGTTATAATCCACTAATATAATATAAATTCTTCTTCTTCTTAGTAAGTAGTTTTAGCTTTGAATTTGTACTTGTAAAGTAGTATTTGTACACTACGGTATTGCAAATATTTTACACAGTAGTTTTACTTTTAATACCAAAGGTACACTTTGCTGCTTCCAAACATTTCCCAATTTGGGATCAATAAAGCACATCTTATCTTATCTTAATACCGTACTTATACT